AATATGAATCGGCCTTTAAAAAACAAGACATTTTGTCACTTGTGATGACATGGCTGAACCTAGAGGACATTTTACTAAGTGAAATAAGCCAGGCACAGAGAGACAAATACCATGTGATCTCACTTCTACATGAAATCTAAAAAAAGTGGACTAATAGAAGAAGAGAGTAGAATGGTGGTTTCCAGAGGCTGGGGAAGGGGGTCAGGTTGGATGGGGAAGGGGAATAGGGACATTGTCAAAGGGTACTAAGTTTCAGTTAGATAGGAGAAAGCAGTTCTGGTGACCATATTGCACAGCATGGTGACTAGAGTTAATAACAATGTATCGTGTATTTCAAAATAGCTAAAAGAGTAGATGTTAAGTGTTCTCACCACAATGAAATGATAAGTATTTGAGGTGATGAAGATGTTAATTAGCCTTGTTTGATCATTTCACAATATATACATGTATCAAAATATCACATTATACTTTACAAATACATACAATTATTTCTGTCAATTAGAAATAAAATAAAACTTGAAAAAATTCCCTTAGACTAAGTACATCCAACTTTGTCTGAAATATCCTGACAACCTCAAATAACGCCTCTCTCTAATCCTGTATCGTCTCAGCATGTTTGGTTGTTATCTTCCTACTCTGGGATAGACTTTTAAGAAACATTCTGGCATGGGTCAGCGTGGCTTCTACTCCTCTGTGCTAGTATGTCAGAAATCAGAAATAACTTAATTTGCACTTTTGGTCATTCTAGGATAATGATTTAACCCCAGGTATTGTTGGTTTCCCTAGTAAGGGAACCTAAAAATGTAGCTGAATTACCACTTGAGCCTTTGGGAATGAGGTGAAGTTTAAAATCCCAATTCTAGACTTGGAGCAATTTGAGCTTTTCCAAAAGGATCCATGCCTTAGTTTTTCAGCTTTTGGGGTCCATGCTCTTGAGGTCACAAGCATTTTTCAATTGCTCCTCTCATCGGGACCCAATTTAGAGTCCCTTCCCTTTGCAATCCGAATGTACTCATAGTTGCAGTAGTCAGCATCTTTCTTGAAAATTTCTTGAGTTGAATAGAAGACTCACATGATGTAAGACACATGTCTATCTCCTGTTGGCAAACCTTACTCTGTCCTCTCTCCTCAATAGCCAGTGCTGCTTATATGGCATTCTCCCTTCACGTACAGCTGTGTAAAGTGTGGTCCTGTTCCTGGCTCTGGCTGCTTCAATTCCTGGGAGCAACTATATACATTGTTCTGCTTCCCCCAAATTAGTTAAGACTCTGGTGAATAGATTTCTCTCTATATTGTTACAAATTTACATATTTTTATTCGATTGAGTACATGATTTCTATATGAGCATCAATATGTGGACATATTTCTGCCTTATTTGCATATTGTAACCTATGTTTTCATTGAATCTTGGTGACCATTATTATCATTCTTCATGTTTTACTTGTGGAACTCAGGTACACAGAAATAAGCTTATTCAATTAATTATATTCCTCAGTGAAAGGAAAAATATTATCACATAATGCACTTTCTCTCCCTGCCCTTGGCATTATCCCACATGCTCAGACCCAAGGCCTCTAAATGGTTTAAATTATAGGGGTGTGTTCTGCTCACAAAACAGTATTTCAGAGGTAGTTCAGTCCAGTATTGTTAATAATAAGCATTCAACAATATCAGGCTCTGTGTTGGTTTCTTTGCAATTTCCCCTGATTTTCCTTCAGAGTCACAAAATGGCTGCAGCAGCTCCCAGCATCATACACAATACAGGATAATAATTTCTCCTTGTGAATCTTTCTGTTCTTATTAGAGAGAAACATTTTTCAAAGGTCTCCACAGGTTTATTCTCTGTTCCCAGTACCCAGAATTGATTCTCATGCCCAACCGAGCATGCTAAGTAGACATTAAACTAAGAGTCTGACATTTAAAGCTTCTTCAAAAAGAGACAAGTTCTGCTAGTAAGAGAAAAATGTAGCAAACTAGCTTTTGGGAAGGCAAACAAATGTCTGTGTGGGTTTAATTCATCATATGACTATACCACATTTTATCTATTACTTAACTGAGGGTCATTTATCTAGTTTCCTGCCTTTTAGCATTGTAAACAACTCTGACATAAAGAGACTAGTAAATTTTTCCTTTTGTCATACATGTGTAAGGATTTCTCTATACAATATATTTCTAGAAGTAGAATGGCTGTAAAGTCTGTAAATTTTCTATTAAATATAAACAGCCAAATTGTTTTTCAGTCTATCTATATTAATTACATTCCTTCCAGCAATCCATAAAGGCTTTGGTTTTTTCATATCTTCTCTTAGAGTTGACATTATCCAAATTTTATTTTGTTTTTGCAATGTGAAGGATGAAAAGTGTTTCCTCAGTATTGTATGTATTTTTCTGATTACTAGTGAAGTTAAGCATCTCTTTGTGAATGTATTGGCTATACTGTTTACCCTTTGGTGAATTGCCTATTCTTTTATTTTCCTGTTTTAATGTTTTTTGTGAAATATATGTACACACTAATAATATATATCAAAAAGGTTAGTATCTAGAATATATTTATTTTACATTAATATATATACAATGTTTAATAATAGTAAAATTTGAAATTTGGAAGATTACTCTTTCCAAATTTTCAAATAAGGAAAACCAATCTATCTCCTCCAGGGGGAAATAAATAAAGTACTAGAGGAGATTAGGAATAGGTTCAAGGAAACTAGGCATGAGGAAAAGACAAAACTTCTAACAACGAAGATTTTGATGACTATAAGGAGAGATTGGCATTCCTTTCCCCAGTTGGACATAAGATATGGAAACAAACTGGTGGGCCTTCCCTTGTGTCTATCTGAGAAGGGGGAAAGAGAATTGGAAAGACGACAGAGTGCAGAGAGGACACAGCATGGACCGGCAGGCCTTTCCATCACTTTGGCAAGAGTGGCTGAATTTGGCATAGATCAAGGAAGCTGAGCCTCCGTCACCTTGCCAGCACTTGACCAACCAGGACTGGTTCATGGGCAACAATTCGCAGCCTGATAAGAAAAAGGACTAAGGGTATGAGCTGAAGGAGAGTGGAAAAGAGCAAGTCAGAGTTGGGATCATTGTAGTGGGGAGACCCCAGCGATGGCCTTGGAGGGATTCACATGCACACATGATAAAAGAACCAGCCTTTTTCCTCCTACCCCCAGGGACATTAATCATCAGTTTATGGACTCACTATGTAAGTACCACATCCAAACTTTCCCACAAAGAGTATCTGGGTTACTTAATTTGCCACTATTACATAGAAAATGTTCCTGTGAAGTAGAGTAGTGCCAGGCCACCTCTAATGCTGCAGGCCAGCCAATGCGGGGCTGCTTTGGACAGATAATCATTTCTGCACAAGCTGCTGTGGCCAGTATCCAGCCATGAGGGTGCTGGACTGTGGCTGCACTTCAAGAACTCCTCTGACAAAGGTTTAGAGCATCACAGTCCTTCTAAGTTTACTCAGAATGATCAGTATATACAGGAGGCAGCATGCTTAGTGTATCCAGGACATAAGGCTAGATGTTAATGCTATTGTTGCATAATTCATTATTGCATATTTCACAAACATACATTTCATATCTTATTTCTCTCCCTTTCTTTGGATACATCTCAACCAATTCATCTTTTAATTGTAGACTATTGTGTTATCATTTCATTTTTTATTTCCTTTTTCTTGCATTTTATTGAGAATGCAATGCAGATGCTTTCTAATATTTAATTCTGATTTTTTATCTAATTTTTTAAGATATTGCTTACCTTTGCATCAAGAATTCAGTAGTTTCCTGTTTTATGTTTAAGAAATCTAAGATTCATGCTGGCTTGCTTCTGTTTTCTCTTCCTTAAATGATTAAAAGTCCATACAGACTTTATCATACATAGAGTCAATGACTTTTACTTTGTCTTCCTCACCAACTAGCAATTATTAGAACTCACCTGTCATTTCTAAAGCCACTAATTAAATTTTTGGTGTCTATTGTTGACCTTAACTGAGGGGAAATGTGTTCCATCTCTAACCTGCTTGTATAGATCTGACATAATTCCTGCATAATTAGAAGCAATATCCTTTACTAATGGTAAGAGGGTCCTCTTTCAATTCATACTGAGCAACAGGATGAATTGAGCAGTAAGAAAGAGTACCTAGTCATAGAAGGAGGGGAAAACAGTGATGATAATAGGACAAGAAAATTTTCCAAAATCTATAAAGCATATGCTCATGGCATTGGAATTGGCAGAAGAACAATAATGAAGAATGCTGCATCAGTTGGAGAGAGAACAAGGGGTCATGTGCAGTGATTTCTCTGCAGTTTGATGTCACAGAATTGGGGGACTCAGCTGGAGGACTCACTGGGGGACAGTTATGAGAGTGGCCTGGAGTGGCTGGGAATACTTGAAAGTCTTGAGTTCCAACAATTTTGTAGGCGGAATATGAGAGGAGAGATTTTTCATGATCATTTTTATTTACCCACATAGTTGGCTGTAGCATCCACTGCCAGTTGCCATGGAAACTCAGAAGACAGGGCCTTCTGAGGGTAGTATTGGTACAGGTCAACAGAATAGAAACATTACCCAGAACATGAATGGACAGTGAAGGATCCATCTTTCCTGTGGCTCAAATTTTAGGTTAAAATTCTGAAGATATCATTTTAAAAAGATGGAGAAATTAGCTAAGTGCACATTAGACACATAAAGAGGAAATAAACAGCATGGTGCCTTTATGGGAATAATCAAATCACCTCAGGAGCAGGAATCCACATTCAAATAATATTTCCCTACATTCCAATGTGATAGCAAACCAGCAAGCAAAGCATAAACAAATCCTGTAGATAGGAAAATAAGAAAATAAAAAATGAGCTGGGGAAAATTTTCATCCAGAGGAAAGTGTTTTCTTGCAACAGACAGTGGTGGGATCAGGAACCTGTTCCCTATTTGGAAACTGGTGCAGAGATTCTGAGTGTTCATCCAGGAAGATACACTGGAGTAGAAGGATGATACCCCTCCAACTTACCATCTTCAGCATTGTCATCTATATGCTTGAGTCCTTGACAATTATTGTGCAGAGCAGCTTAATTGTTGCAGTGTTTTGCAGAGAATGGCTGCAGGTCAAAAGATTGTCACCTGTGGACATGATTCTCACCAGCCTGGGCATCTGTCGCTTCTTTCTACAGTGGTTATCAATTATTTCTGATTTTTTCTTCTATTTTAACCTGAATTGTGTATTTTGGTACATATCAATCATCTGGGAATTTAGTAATGTTCTTATATTCTGGTTAACTAGCTTGCTTGCTGTCTTCTACTGTGTCAAGGTCTCTTCTTTCACCAACCCCATCTTCCTCTGGCTGAGGTGGAGAATTTTGAGGTCAGTTCCCTGGTTGTTACTGGGTTCACTGATAATTTCTTGTGTGACAATCATCCCTTCAGCTATTAGCAAGCACATCCAGATTCAGTTAACCACCATGGAGCATTTGCCAAGAAACAGCACCGTGATTGTGAGACTTGTGATGGTTCAGCAGTATTTGATTAATGCTCATAGAATTGTTGCATTGAGTATTCCTTTCCTCGTGTTCCTGGCCTCCACCACCTTGCTCGTGTCCTCACTGATCCAGCATGTGCAGCAGATGCAACATCATAACACTGGCCATGGCAACTCCAGCATGAAAGCTCACTCCACTGCCCTGAGGTCTCTTGCCATCTTATTTATCTTCTTCACCTCTTACTTTCTGACCATACTCGTCTCCTTAACACACAGCCTAACTGATAAGAGATCTTGGTTCTGGGTCTGGGAAGCTGTCATCTATGCAGTAGTCTGTATTCATTCCACTTCACTGATGTCGAGCAGCCCTACATTAAAAAAGGCCCTAAAGGTAAAGCGCTGGGGCTTAGATGCTGCCTAAGGCACAGAATACAGCAAGAGCCCTGGGCAGATGGGAGTCCACCTTGATGCAATTAATACCAATAACCAGCATTGCTCTTATCAGTCTCCCGTGTGATAGACGTGATAGTGAAGCACCAGGTGTGGGAGCTTCATTCTCTTTCATCCCCATAGCTGCCTACTCAGAACAATCAATCCTTTCTCTATTCTGCTGCACTACTTTCCTTTCCTAGTTTCTCGACTTTTTACAATTGCCCCAACTCTCCTTAGTCCTTGCCACCTCTGGTATCTTACCCCCAGTATATTCCATATGGGACAGTCAAAATCATGGTGTCCACACAGTATTTTAACCTTCTTATGACTGCCAGCTACATCACACATTATATGAGTCCCTTCCCACAAGAATGTATTTTTCATTCCCTGAATGCTCCCCATGATAAGCCCTCAATTCACTTTCTTAATTTTAATCAAGAAAACCTCTCACCATCTCTCTCTCTCTGTCTCTCTCTCTCTCTCTCTCTCTGTCTCTCTCTCTCTCTCTCTCCTGCTGCTACTGTTTCTTGCTTCTAGACTTATATCCTTTGATACAATGTTCTTATTTGCTTCTCTTTTAAATATTGTGGTCTTTATCCCTTGAAAACCCAGGTCATAATTTAACTCTTCTTCCATTCCTGTTTGCCAAGGCCTTATACTTTTCCCTAGAATAGAAGGCCATTTACCCAATCCAAGTTTATCCTTAATACTCTCCAAATATTGATGGTTAATTGTGTCATCTACACATGGTTTCCATTGGCTCTATTCTTACCTCTCTATTATACTATAAATTAGAGTGAACTTTCTGGAAAGGTTCGCATATTGAGGCATAGCTGGGTTTGGCCATATATAACCCAGAAGTCAGCTGGGAACCCCTCTTACTTCATAACGTCTGAATGATGTTGGCTTAAATTTTCTATACTCTTTTATTCTGTGCTCTATGATAATAGAAAGCCCTCCCCAAATGAATAGGAATACAGAAAACACACAATAATCAATTAAAAATTACTTATAAGATGTTCCCATTCTTTAGACACTCTGTCTAGTTCAAAATGAGAAAATATATCTCCTTATCTAACAGATTTCTCTCATACCCACTTCCCTTGTGAGGCCCCATCTGACCTTCTCTCATTTCTCTCCTCTTCACTGTGACCTGTTAGCACCCAAATATCTTGATAATAGAAAACTCCCAGGCCTCTGGGTCTCAGCCTCTGTCTACTGCAAGTACTTATCAAGGCATTTTTCCTAAATCCAGTTGCAACTCTTATAGCATTCCGGTGTTAGGGGTTACAAATATGTTTTCCAACTTTTATATATACTAGTCATGTCTGATGAACTGAACTTCTGGCTCTGCCACTATAGGATCAAAATACCTAACCTGAGAGCAGACCATCCTGTGGGTAAAAAATGCCTGTATCTCAAGCTTGGCTGTGGAAGAAAGCCTTAGTCCCTGGAAGGGAATGGAAATTCTGATCTAGTTTGGAATTTATCAGTCTGATTTGTCTCTGAGTCAAATTCATATTTGAAACTGAGGGTGTGAAACATAAGGAAAAACGGAAAGACTACTTTCACCAAAGATTCTGTACCATTCGGTGCATCTCAGCAGCATCCCCATTGTTGCACAGAAAGGGGAGCGAAGCACCCTGTCCCGCTCCACAGCAGCACCTTGTGCAGCCTTGGCGTCTCCCAAGCTCCAATGGTCCAGCTGCACTAGAAGCAGGGAAGGGACCTGGTGGATGCAGAGTGTCTGGGAGACAGAGCCATATCCAGCTGACCTGGGACTGAGCACAAAAAAGGAAAAGAAAAGGTAAATATTGGCATTGTGTTATCTGAACAGAGGCTCCCAGGAATGCTTAGGAGGTGGGTTGCAAGAGTTTGGGATCCTGCTGGAATAGGTTGGACAAGAGCCCAGGAAATGTGGATTACATTGCTATTTGTCATTCGTATCCACATCCAGACGAGGTCTTGCCTGTTCTAAAATTTCAGATAGCTTAAAGAAATAGAAACCATTTCCCTCTTGTGTGTATAAATAGAGAACAGGAAAAAAAGAACACCCACCTCTGCTATCATACACAGACACTACTCCAGAAGCTGTTAAATATTTTTAGTACTCTCACTGTCTTCTTTTGAATAAAGTGCAACGGAAAACTTATCCAGGATATGCATGAAGTGGGGGGTGTTAGAGGGGGTTGAGAGCATCCTGAAATCAGAAAAAATAAATAAATACAAACAGAAATAATAAATATCCTTTTTAGTTATGGCACCTAATAATTCACAAAGAGATTTTACATACATTTTCTCATTTTGAACTGAAAAGACAAGTCAAGATCTCTGAATCCAAACTGGATGGAAAAGAGACCTAATAAGAAAAAATTATTTACCTAAATTCACATTACTAGTTCATACTAAACCTAAAGTCAATGGAAAAGGAGGAGAAACCAAGGGATACATTTTAAATGAACAAATGATTTTAATTTGGAAAAAGATAGGATTTAAAAGGGTGATATTTTAGAAAAAATAACATAAAGGTTGTGACCAAGAATATGGAAAATTTTTGGACAGCTTCAGTTAGCTGGATATGAAATGAAAGCAACCAAAAGGCTAATGCACCTATCCAACTTATCAATACTCTACCCTGTATAATGCTCTTTATCCATAGCATAGAATACATTGCCTGATAACTCACCAAAAATAAGGGAGCAGAAAGAAGAATAAGAAAGCTGTGTCCCTAGGTTTTAGGAGCAAATGTTTAGTAGCCCATGGGTGTTGGCAATGAATTTAAGAGGAGCTCTGTGAGTGCTGTTGCCTGGCGCCTGTATACACATACACCATGTACACACTAAGCCATTGGCAAACTGGAAAGCAGACTCTCCACCCTTCAAAGGATGCCCTATGAACTTAATGAATGCCTTGTGATGCAGAGGCAACAGTGATAAATTCCTGATAGCACCTGGCATGGAGTCTATTCCTAATTAGACACAATACAGAATTTATTCACTGAATGGTATTTTCTCTACCCTGCCCCATTCCTACTGTGTGAGGTACATAGGTTGATAAACTTAAGTTGCATGTTTTTGCCTACTTGTGAGACTGGTATTCAAAACTTTTCAAAACCTGCCTCTGAGCCACCTGTCCAGTTTAACTCTTGATAAGCTCCAACATAAACCCAAGTTTTTTGCACCAGATGCATCTCCTCATGGTTTTCTGAATACCCATGCATAGGGTAGTTGTATTTGCATAGGGTGTGTCCATGCGTAAGACAGATGCTTCTCACATTTGCTGATGCATTTACCTTTCTTTCCCTGATTTCCCTATTTATGACCATTATTTAAGTCCTATCCTCCCTTGATGACCTAGCACCAGCCCAGATGCGGGCATGAATGCCAAACCCCACCACTGCCTCTTGCCCTTCCAGGTCGCTTCTCTTTCTGTTACGTCTATTGTCTTTATTGCTTACTTGGAACCAGATGTGTGCTCTGTTCCATTATTAAATTTCTCTTTCTTTTACCTCTGCCTTTATAATACAGTTTTCAACACACAGGAAATCAATTACTGCTAAATGATGATGATGATGATGACAATGGCATGACGAGTAACAACCCTGAATTCTGAAATCTGAAATTGCAAGTGGTGCCTTTCATTCAATAAGTATTTACTGTCAAACTACAGTGTACTACTGGAAATACAAAGATGGGACAGCAGCTCGATCAACATGTGCTCCTCCTGAGAAATGAGGGCCCTTCCCTGAGAGTTTCACATATGGGTTAGTTTGTCCATGGTGGGTCTATTTAGATCAGCCCTGACCATTTTGGTTTTGAGAAGACCTGAGTAGAAAGAGGCTATGGGTGTTCCACAGTGGGGTAAGAACTGAGAGCCACTCTGCAGATAGGAGCCTCTCCCTCATCAAGGAGGGACAAGGCACAGAAATCCTCTAGGGATTGTGGAGAACAGAAAGCAGCCTGCATTTGGACTCCCTTCCTGCACAGAGGACACCGATGGCCAGATTACAACAGAACCAGTCAAACAAGAGGTTGGCTTTTCTAATTTCTCAAACTCCTCAAATTGGTGGTCCTATAAGAACAAGAAGGGAATGGATGTGGTAGGGGATTGAAAGAACTGACCCTCGCTTTCTTCTCTGCTAGTCTCCAGCCCCTGTATCAGACCTAAGATAGAGGAAGAGAAGATTTTAATTAGTTATGAGTTTAATGTGTGATTTAGATTCTTTAAAGTTAGAGATGCAAACATTCTTAGAAAGCTATGGAATCTATAATGCCATCAAAGATTGGGGAAGGGTGATCTTAGGAATATGTTTGAAGGAAGAAAAATGTGTTTCTTTGGAGCTCGGCCTATTCAATAAAATTGTTACAGGAGACATAAAAGTCAGAAAGATTTGAAAGGCCTCTATGTGTTCTCTGAGATTGCTTATCAGGTGTTGTGCATTACATTCCACCTATAAAAAGACCTCAAGATAAGTTCCTTTCTGGAAAGGAGATAAACAAAGGCCAAGGCAAAGACCTACCTCTGACAATCCTTAGTTTTCCTGTTACCATGGCCCAGCATGCATCCTTTCATCTGAATTCAATAGAGAAGCATTAAATTTTTGCTTGATCACAATACCTTTTCATACCTAAGAACTTTTGACATAGAGTTCTGTTGTCTTCGATTCTGGTGTTTGTGTTTTGGTAATGGTGTTTGTCCTTATTGTTCTTGTATTTCTGTTATAAATTGTGGAAAGTTGTTTTTGAAATTGATCTTGCTATTTTAAAAAGGAGATAAAGAAAGAACAGAGGAAGGGAAAGAAAAACTACCAAGGAAATGTATGAGTAGCATTTCAACAATAAAACAATTATGACATAACTGCAATGATGAACCTATTCTTAAAAATTATCCAGATTTACTTTTGTTCCAGAAATGCATATTACAGAAGGGAATTTTGGAAATTCTTTGATATGCAGTCTAGAGGAACATACACTGATTATAAAATCAGCA